CGGACCACCCAAAGATCACCCATGAACTTGCCCAAAGTTTCGGGGCATCATATTTTGAAAATGAAATCCCCATTTTTCAATATGATTCACAGACCGGTACAGTTCGTCCAATCCAGGTGGTCCACAAAAGATCTGGTCCCAACATATGACACATCAACCTTCCCATAGACAACTTTGGTGGGCGCAAAACTGGTTCTCCTCTCGATGGCTGGCAATGATAAGAAGCTTATCAGGCGGAGTTTCAACCTTTGAGAAGTTCGCATCAATGCGCTAGGACAACATAGCATTGGAACGTTCCATTTACTATGATTTCCGTCTTTCTACTAGTGTTATATTTATATTGCCCAGTCGCATTAGTTGGAATGAGCGTTCGTTAACTAGTAGCAAGTTCGATTCCACACCAATTCTTATCAAACATCCTTTTCGAAAAAAATCGTCCAAACTGGGTTTTTAGAGCCCCAATCGTAAGGTTTCATTTGAGAGAGAACGAAAGGCATTTCTCGACATGTCCTGTCGCACTGAGCATCCTTTATTTTTGCGGGTTCGGGGCCGGAGTAGCCCCGTGCTAGCTGTTTACGCGTGTTTAAATGCATTAAAGGCACAGTTTACAATATGGTTTTTAGGGTATCCCCCTTATATGAACATGTGGCATACAGGGATGGCACATGGGACAATGTGGGGTAAAAAACGACCTCTACAGGAGGTAATAAGAGCTCCGAGCTCCATATTCAGTGTGCAAAACGTACGCACCCAAAGAGACCGTGTTATGACGGACTCAGACGGTCATACACGGATAATCTCGATCAACCCCTTTCTTCCTGCTTCTTTCTGGTTTTTCAAAGCTTTTTATTTCCTGAATCCACCGATTTTTGTAACCTATTCACAATTTGTTGTTCTAATCTGCATCATAACTTCCATTATCTCCGTTGAGGTAGATACATCAGAACTATCGTGAACCGTGCCGCCAAAGAAATTCATAGATTCCAAAGCCTAAAAGTATAGTAGCCATATCTAGGAACGATACAGGTGGCGGTGTGAGGAGCCACCTGGTCTGTGCAAGGGCTAGAACTGTGCCTAAGTAGTGCCACCTGCTTGAACTTATTCATGAACTAAGTTCCATTTTCGGTTAGCTGTAGAAAAGTATCCAACGAGAATGTTTCAATTTCAGATGATAGGCGTTCTGTTTCTGCTCGCCGGCACACTGGTCTGCTCATTCGCACAGGTCCTTGAACTGAAACCTGGGAGTGTTCGAGGCTTTGAGTATACGACGAAAGGCGGTGATATTGCCGAGGTGTTTCTCGGGATACCTTACGCGGCTGCACCTGTGGGGGAATTGCGTTTTGAGGTGAGCATCAATGGACCGTAAATTCATAGCATCTGCTCTCAGATTTACCTATGCTGTATTAGGAGAGTATCGATGAGCGTATTCCAATGCCAATATGTATTTTTGGACTATGACGCTTTGAAGATCTATGAGCCCCCTTCTCTGTTGAAGATTTCTCAATTAAAAAGCCTCAATTTGGCATGAAATATTTGACAATGCTTCTGAAAGCGAATTCCGATTCCGTTGAAACATTTTTAGAAACCTGTTCCCGTCGTACCATGGAATGGAGTTCGTAATGGAACTCAGTTCGGTGCCACCTGTCATCCACACGAGCATAAATCTGCCGTATTGCCAGATCCCAATGAAGACTGCCTTACACTTAATGTGATTCGACCAAAGAAGGAGGTAACCACCAGTCCGCATCTAAAGCACCTTTTAAAACAGGCCTACCCTTTTTGTGGCTAGAACTTGTTAATCTTACAGGCACCCACTGGTGGATACCCGATTCTGCTATGGATCCATGGTGGTGGCTACGAAATAGGGTCAGCCAGTCTATATGGTTACAAGGGATTTGCGGACATCTACATACCGCATGACATAATCGTGGTCACTATACAGTATCGCTTGGGCATATACGGTAATTCATGATTATGAAATGTATTTGAATTTTTGGCTCTGTAAGCTAAAAAGGGATGGTGAACCCTATCAATTGCTATTTTTTAAAGATCTTTCGGGATGTATGCTAAACGGATGGATCTTTAACTATGGATGTAGAGCTCGCATTGAATTTGCTGTTGGGACGAACGGATAGCGATCTTAAAGGGGTCCATATAGGAAGCTTTAAAATGAAGCTCTCTCATTCTGGGCGCTGCTGGCTATGCCGGCAATGGATGAGGGTTAGTTCCTAGGGAAGAATAATACATATTAGCAAAATATAGACAGTAACCACTATTTCTATCTTTTGCTACTTTTTCAAAGATTAAAGGCAACGACAAGTAAAAGGTATAGTAATGAAGTGAAGACTATTTCAAGTGAAGTGAGCTTGTGAAATGTTTTTTGATGTAACCTTTCGGTCAGGCAGAAGTTGGAAGGTGGAAAAGTTCAGCATCAATACTTCGAAAAGGGCCCCCTTCATCAGTAATTAGTTCTTACATATCCAGGATTACTCTGAGCAAACAAAAAGCCCTCTTACGCTATCTGTACACATCGCTGAAAATCTCGATGTTTTCCGAAAAGCTTCGAATCTTCCGTTTTACGGTTGGGGGCTATTCTGTTAGAAATACTAATACCACTACACTAAAATGCTAAAATAATAGAGATACTGAAACCTCCAGTCATACTAAATTTTGAGGTTTCTTCTCTTCGGGAGATTCCCGAATCCCTGGAAACCTTGGATTGTTCGACATGGCTGAAGCTGTCAAGGTGTTTTTTTCTTATTTTATTGTTAGTATTAAAGAATCTCTTTATGTAGCGTAAACAACCTTCTCGAACCAAATATTCACTCAATTGAGAACTGACCACAAAATACCCAGATACCTAGTCTATAAATATAAGTCACTCCGAAAATGTGTGGTCATCCTTCAAGAAAAATGTCTAGGGCAATCGAAAAAACGCAATTACTTAGTCGCCAACCTACCAGTCAGTAGTTTCTATGTAGTATTATATCCTTTATGATTTAGTTTGTGTACGAAAATGCCGAGAATATGGGAGCTGACCCATCTCGAATCACCGCTTGGGGACTGAGCGCAGGTGGTGCAGGTGTTGGCCAACTTGTGCTCAGTCCAGTTTCCAGAGGTAAATTGAAAGTGCTGGTTTTCTTGTTTTAAACAGAAGAATTACAGATTACATTGCACGATCGATCGAAATGTCAGGGTCTCCGTGGGTTGCTTGGGCTTTGGGACCGAATGTTCCCAAATACTCATTGGAACTAGCTGAGGTGAATTCTTGGTCTGCTATGGATTCCGAATTTTGGACGATCCATCCAATTTTTGCTCATTGAATCAAAATTCAATTGAAGGTGCTCGAATGCGCAGATGACCTTAAGAGCTGCATGAAGCACAAAACTGTGGAAGAGATCTATGAAGCTGCCGAGAAGGTGGTCAGTGAGTTATACCGGTGTTTGTAGTCCACTGATTACTTTCCGTGATCTGGGATAGCCTGAGTACTCAAGATTTCATGGCTATGCAAGTTCTGGACTTGACAGCATCAAATGGGGCCCTGTGATTGACGGCGATTTCCTACAAGATCCGGACGAGATGGCTGTCACCGCACCTCCGAAAGCCTCGATTGTAGGGGTTTCGAATAAAGAAGCAGCTTTTATGAGTAAGTTCGTGCTTCTGTCGGCTTGCTTGCAGGGTGTTTGCCTATGTTATGATTTTCAGCTATAAAAGCCCGCAGAAACGCAACCCTCACTAACTTCGGGATCAAAGAAGATGATTTCCCTACATGGAACAGAGACAAACTGGTAGCGTCTATCAAGGTAATGCTCACTTTTTTATACTGCCCTTCCTGCTGCTGCTTTTTGCATAAGGCCCTTGAATTGGGCAAACTCAATACCAGTAGGTGCAGGAAGTGTGCCCCGCCGTGTTTCAGAAATTCAGTGGGTCACTCGAGCTCGGGATGTACAGGCGAGATTACGGCGAATTTTGAATGGGTGAACGTGGTCATTGCAGTCTGAGCTCACGAGACAACTATCAATGATTCGCTGCGCGCTTGCGCGTGCTCGTGGGACAGAGAGATCTCGGCTCACGGTCAATCTCAATGAGTCTCTGTTCGATGGCCATCTGCCTCTGCCTTTCTACACCGCTATACGTAAGCCTGACACCGCTTCAATGTGGACATAGACCATCTAATCTCATCCCACGGCTTTTTTACAAGAACTATTTAGATAAGAAGTTTTACTTTTTTGTATACTTGATTAGATGGCACGAGCGGAGGTGATGTAATGGCAAGCGGCGCACTCACACCCGCATGGTCACTGGTTCCGATCCCGAGCCGGTATCCGTCTATGCTAACAAAGCCTTCCATACCTTCGGTGTTGGTTGGTTAATTTGTACCAGGCTCGTTTGAAAAGATAAAAGCACCAACTTGCACATCGCCTGGCCATCGCAAGTCATTGTACGGGCCACAACCGCATTCAATACGCCACCACGATTCTGAATGGAACTCGAATGCGTGGGCGAATCCCTCAAACGGGATTGATGGACCTCAAGACTTTATCCTTGCATTAGATGCCACTGAAAAGATCTACCAAGACGATGGGTGGCAACAGGATCATGGATAAAACTAGGCCCATGGATAGACGGCAAAATGACGGGAACTAATTAGAATCCAGCCAAGGCATCTTTGCCACTATGTTCACTACCCGTGCGCAGGTGGCGAGATTAATGTTTTAACTGATACGATGTGTTTTTCTATTGCCCACTATCTTTTGTGAAATTCGAAATGTCGTTATCTTCTTGAAAATAAAATATATCCTGTTGACCGTGTCTGATGGATGTTGTTCGTCGGTTATTGAAGGCAGAAGGTTTTACCGGCCGTATTTACAGAAACTTATTCCGAACGAGTTCTTCAAGAGCAAAACGGATGAGGTGATTGACAAAGTGATCGCTTACTATGTCGACAGGAACGAGGAAGACGCATATGATTTCTATCTTGACAGATACACAGAGGTGGGCGGCATCACCAATTTTGAGCACTGCAGTTTATTTTTTGTAAGATATTTTCCCCAAGACATCTTTGACATGGATTCAGTTTCTCAGCGATGTCTTGTTCAATGTGGCTGCCGTAGATGGCATTTTGGCACGTCGTGGAGGAAGATGGGATCTTTTTGCCTATTCGTTCAATCACTACAACAAAGCAGTATGGTCTGATAACATACCAAAGAGATTAAGAGGTTCGAGTCCTAAAGAAGTTTAGTTAGTTGAAAATTGTCTAAAATAACCTATGATTGTGAGAAGTATGCTCTATCTGCCTATGGGCGCAGTACGCTATAATTTTGAGGTACCCTTTTTATGTAGAAAAGCCGAAGTATAGGTTGCAAAAGGTCATCGGCAAAGAAGAAGGCGAGAAAATCCGTCGATTTCAAGAAAAGTAGGGCTCGTTGAAGGTAATGAGAATAGGGGTTGGACGAGATTACCGTGACGGAAGTAACATGGAAGGGGCATTCGGACGAGATTTCAACTGTTATAATTGCGCAAAGAGTTGACTACATCAAGCCAGAACTGTACAGAACTGTATTTCACTGTCGCTATGGGTCTTGACAAGTTGTTTGAACTTCCTACATGGGCTCCCTTGTGATTGGTGCAGCCTCTGCAATGCCGGTGAAACTCGGCCGAAGGTACACACGGGACAATCGTTGAGCCTTTATAACGCCCTAATTTACCCTGGGGGGATATCTCATAAGCCATTTTCATCAAGAACTGTGCCTTTAAAGATCCTAGGAAGAATCGAGCCGTCAATTCGACTTCCTTATTGCCTTCTGTTTCTCCACCATTTCAGATTTGTACGTCTGCTTTTTTATAATGGAAAAACCTTAGCAAGCTTGTTTTTCTTTCAGGATCTATGCAT